ATCAACACATGGGTCACGTGTGCGTACATTATTAAATTTTACATGCACGTCTAAGATTTTTTGTGCGTGTATGTGTATATGTACTAAGTAAACTACTCTGGGATAAAATAATACAGATGAAAAAATAAAAGAGATGCTTGCTATTCATGATGACGCTTTTTTAATCATTCTATCTGTTACTAACATCTTTAGATAGCACGTACCTTACACAAGCACGCACGCGCTCACGGGCTCACACACACGCACGCACATGTATATGTATCAATCTTGAGTCCATAATATAGACTGACGTAATATAGAGACTATTATACTATTATAGACTCTTGATGTGCGTGTATGTATGGATGTGTACAATATTACCTATGGAGTATACAAACCCAAACCGATGTCTAGTGATGTGTTAGTGTACCTACATATCAATCCATGCGTAAAAATACCCACATAAAGCAGTTATTTCGGTTATGCCCGAAAGCTATTCAAGATCTCATGTATCTCATCTAGCGAATCTTGACCATCGCATCTAACGAATACACGCACACATGCACGCACGCCCGCCCGCATGCACGCACGCACGTACACACGCACACACGCACGCACGCACACACACACACACACACATGCACGCACGCACACAATAATTAGGAACATATATCATATCATCACGTAGTCGATGGTTGTCTCCGCTTGATCTCATTATAGACGATGGCAGTTACGTGACAACAAATTTATATTTAATCAAATTTCATTGCAATATAGCTGACCTAGCTAGCTGTTTCAACTAACTGAACTTGATGAAGTTCTTCTGAAAAAATAATGGTGTCGAAGCTGCCTCCATATCGTGGCAATAAACCACCCGAATTGGTCGTTTAAAATGTGTCGAGCGCAAAAATATGAAGAAAAAACTGTTTAACTTGAGTTCAGTATATTATCTTAGACGTGTCAATAATTTTTTTGCGCGCTTTGCTCATTTCATAGAACATATGTGAACTTGGGTTGGCAGTGAGCGCTATATCGCCTACATCGGACATGAGGAAGTCGGCATATGGTCACTACGAAGTAATCATGAAAAAGGCATTTGGTGAACCGATAATAACCGAGTTCGATATTGGCAGGAGTAATACACTTCTAGGAAATTATCAGTATCTAGAAATCACATTTTTCCAAATAATCTAATAAAAAACATCTCAATTGAATTTCTGGCATTTGCTGCTTTTCACATCGAGTAGCTTATACGCTAGCGATGAAACAGCGTTCATCCAAACCAAAAAAGATGTTACTTTGTCCTAAACTTTTTTTGCCATTAGAATGTCACAAATAGCAAATTGTGAACATGTAACATAAAGAAACAGTTACAGGGGGTGTATTTCAAGTGTCTTTCTCTGTAGAAGAAAGTTTCCAGTGTGACGAAATGGATTCATCAGTATTTCACAGAGATGAATCCGTGAGATTATTTGTGTAAAATCGCGATGTATTGATAATAATCAGTCGTTAATTGTTGACCGACACTACGCAAGTCATTGTGTTTAAAGTGTACAGCACGTTCACATCTGCTTATAGAGGCTTAATTGATAGACTTGATAGACATTTTTTGTCACCGAATAAAGCCGTCGCCGAAGCGTATTAATTGACGTCCGTAAAAAACATATTACAACTAAAATACGCGTTTCACGACATTCAACGGAAAAAATTCCAACACAATCTGAACTCGGTGTAGATGTCCACACGATAAAATTGGGATAAAACAACAGCGAGGAGTTACGGCGACTGAGAAAGACAGACAACGAGAAAGAGAGAGGGAGGAAAGAGAGAGAGAGAGAGAGCGAGAGAGAGAGAAAGAGAGAGGAGGAGAGCGAGCGAGAGAGAGAGAGAGAGAGAGAGAGACAGGTTCCAGTTATTTCTTCCTCCTTCACTACGTCGCTGTATGGACGGATGGCAGGTGGCCTAACTAATTGTACAATATGATAGCATTTCTTTAGAATTTTCGACGCGAGTTTTATGCATAAAAAATGGGAATGACAATTTGTGTTTTCAGCTGAAAATAGCCGGGGTCCAGCGAGGTGAGGTTGGGGGGGGGCGGTCAGGTCCAGGGCGAAGCCTGGTCAGGGGGGTTCAGGAAGTTTTTGAATTTTCACAACTTACAAGGCATAAAATTGCATTAGGAGACACATACAGAACAGAATTGTTACAGAGCATATTACAGTACACTGCAGGGAGTATATCTTGTCATTATCACTGTCATTATCATAACACCAGAATTAATAATCAATACAAAAATTTACTTACATTCTGCAAACAAAATTATTTTAATGTACACTTCCACACTGTCCCAAAGGCTAACCTTTATATAATATAAGATGTTCATTGTCCAGGCAGTTTCAAATTCACTGCAGTACCAGCTACATCGCACTTTCCGACATAGTCGTTCAACCGCTCCGTCACCTCTTCAGTTTTCTTCCCGATTTTGACACTCAGTGTGACAGATTTTTCTAAGCAAGCCCAGCGAAACTTGTTCCTCACATCTTTGTCGATCTCTGCTATGGTAGATGTGTCCGTCTTCTCAATTAATCTCACCATATTTAGTGGTCAAATGCATGAAAACGCTGCTCGAAATGAATTCCGTTTCGTTTTATTTTGCACACTCAAGCCGTGGTATACAAGGCCTTCATCATTTTACATACGCCTCCACAGTACTTACACTGCAGACAGGCGTATTTCTAGACGCATTGTCTGGTTCGCTTGATACAATGTATAATACACATCACATTTATGCTGGCGCTTGCAAATATATGCTATCATTGCATAATGGGATTACAATGTTACAGCCTGCTGTATATTACAATTTCATATCATTACAATATCATATAACTGTTATGTTATTAAATGTACTGTTGGACTGTAAAATGAAAATGTGTACATTCTAACCCCCCCCCCCCCTAAAATTTTCTCAACGGATTTAGACGTTTCACAAAATCGACCCTGGGAGTGTGAATCAGATTCCCATCCCTGAAAAATCCAATGTTATGCACGAAAATCTAACGTGAACTAGCTTATATCCGAGGAAGCGAATTTTGATATAACTATTTTGTATTATGCTAGTATCAGCTAGTGTTTTGTTGTTGTCTGCTCGACTGATTCTTATATAATTTCATTAGTTGACTCATTAGTTATGTATGCACGAAAAAGAAAAGTTTACACACAAAATACACGTTTTATAAACATAAATTCCGAACGTTTCAACAGATTTATTTTAAAACAGTCCTACCACAAAGCCTATATTCATCACGTTGTATTAAATCAACACGTTTTCGTCCTATTGCACTGCAATCCTTACAAGTACAGTGGTTATTCAAAGACAGAGTACCTGTTCTGCTTACAAAGACTTTACGATCTACAAGTAGCCAGCAACTATTGCATATGAAGACATGATTCATATTTGCAGTCATTTCACGTTGCATTGGCACATAACAAGAGTTAACAATCAACATATAAAAAATAACTTCAAGCTAGTTCATTTCATTGGAGTTTTTAATTAACTGTTGTAGCAGATGCAATGACGATATTAAGTTGCCCTACCTGTTCGACAACCATTCACCTTAAGTAAAGTAAAACACTACAATGTATTTCTACTGAGCCCTACTATAGTGTTCTTGTTCTACTACGCCTAGATTTAGATTTTTTTAAGTAAAAATTATTACGTTTTATATTATTAAATATACATAAAATGTAACTGATGCTTGTACGATGCATAATTCGCCACGATACCACGAAACACGGGCTCACCGTTTCCACAATAGATTTGACACTTATTCACATATGTAAGGCTTGGAAGAATACATTGAAAACAGTAAAGTTGCTATTCAAAAGGTACACCGTTCACCTTTAATTTACACGTTTTTTAATGTCTTTGATTAATTTAACAGCATTTGCACATATATTTATATATAACTATAACTACAGTGTAAGTATGAAAATCTATTCTTTCGTAGTAAACAGTATATCAATACAACAATGCCCACCTTACCTGAAAGAACATGCAACAATGTGCATTATATTTCATGTAATCACTCTCAAGGATAGACGATATCTCTTTTGACGCATTTGTGGGGTTCTTTGACAGATAGCCGCGTAAAGAATAGTGCAGTGCGTGAATATATTAAATTTAAAACGAATAAGGTACATTTTTACCCAACAATTTTAACAAAAACATTGACAAACTAATCACTTGCTTGGATTCATAGATAATTAATGTAGATTTTCAAAGGCATGATTTTCCCCCATACAATTAGCAATATGCTTCAGCCATGATAATATTCTAGTTTTAGATATATTTAGATTACCTTAATTTTTTGTATGTTAGTACTCTTTTCTCTCTAGGGTTATAAACCTACGTTCAATATATACTCCAATCTGTATATGTGTGTTTAATTACACATTAAAGCGGTTTTAACGGCCAGAGGAGCGATGCCCACAACATATATGTTATGCCCACATTCTAATAACTGAACAGCGAAATCATACATGGAGTAACTTAAGAGTACTTTACAATACAAACGATATATCTGTATCCAATTTAGAGGAAGCCCTCGCAAGAAAACACCGATTCCCTAGGTTAATTCCAAACGCTCTCTTTTTGCATGCGTATGCAAGTAGTTTTTCTACTGTAAACAAGGGACGAAAATGTTTGGAATCTAATCCCAGCTGCAGTAGAACAGGGTGGCCTCTAAAGTTACGTCTTACTCCCAACGCGCTGAAACCTCGAGTTAAATACTACACTGCGGCGGCAAAAACTGCCGCTGCTATATTCGTTATACGTAAAAGTTCGCCGACGACTGTTGCTATAAAAAAGTATTTGGAGCTTTCGCTAGATGTATATGTGAGGCGCCTGCCTGCCTGCCTGCCTGCCTGCCTGCCTGCCTGCCTGCCTGCCTGCCTGCCTGCCAGACGGTCTGCTGGCTTGCCTGTCTGCCTGCCAGACGGTCTGCTGGCTTGCCTGCCTGCCTGCCTGACGGCATGCCTGCTGGCTTGCCTGCTTGCCTGCCTGCCTGCTTGCCTGCCTGCCTGCCTGCCTGCCTGCCTGGATGTTATCACTTGACATCTCAACTTCGGCACCGCTGGCATCGAGTAGAATACGTGTGTTGTCCGTGTCGGTGTTGTTCGCTCGGTCGTGCTTCGTCACTGCTCGCGAGACGAGGCGAGGCGTCGTCGCCGATAATTAGTGGTACCATGCGGGCTTGCGCTCCCAGCGCAGCCTGCAGCCGGAGTCCGTGCGTATCTTGATGGAGGCGGCCTCGGCCGCTCGCACCGTCTCCTTGACCGAGTGCATGAGGTTCTCGGCATTTCCCACCAGCATCTCCGTCGCCTCCTGGTCTTCCTCGGAACCTACGAGCAGCGCAGATAATCAGATAATCAGTAAGGTATAAGTAAACGAGTGGTTTAACTACTCACACGGGAACGCACGCGTGGACAAAGGAGTCCCGGCGGGTGCATATCGTAATGTACCCGCACAATCGATAAGTGCATGGCTGTGGAATATACGCGCAAAAAAATAAATGTCGCAAGTAATGAAGGAAATAGAGTAGATTTACAGCAGAGTGACATCTATTAGAGAGGAAAAATACTAGAAAACTTGTATGAACATAAAGTATAACAACAGAACGCCGCATGTCTAAAAATCTCTAATAATCTAATCGTCTAAATCTCTCGTAATTCTTATAAGGTTCTTCTTATTATGCATTTAACCAAATTCGTCACGAGATGTTATGCATAGCCTCTGAGAAATAAGTGACAGTACACTTGTCGTCAAATACATCAAATCACCAAGACATGTCATGTCATACAGCTCATGCAGACGCTTCGTACTACATGTGAAGCAAATCACACGTGCAGTTAAGCGCTCCTAGTCAGGTGTGCATATATATCCAGAGTCCATAATCGAAAATTAAGATTTTTATAAGATTTTTAAGAAATAAGAATTAAAGATCAGGCGGGCCGTTATCAGAAACATCATGCATAGTTATGACAACACAAGTTTAAAATGCCGATAAACACAAAGGTGCCGTACAAAGGTTGTGACATTTTAGACTTACTATAGTGCATGATAAGTATTTGTGATGTTTCTGCCAACAGTAATGTGAACTAAATCCCTGATGATTTAATCCATAAATGTTAAAAATTTTCGACAGAAAATGAGAAGCTACTGTATACTCACTTGTTACTGTTAGTAGAGAATCAGAGCAATAATCATAGATAGGCATATCCAGAGAGAGAGAGAGAAGCATGGGAAGAAGAGGTTAGCACAGAATTAGTTCATAGTGCAAATACTACAGCACTAGCTAGCATGCTGCCGACTGAAATGCAATACTAGTACTAAAGTTATATTATTCTAACTAGTATTAATACTATTTAACGGTACATGCTAATTGGCATGAACCTATGCAACAGCCCCAAATTAGTAGTGGGACACTAGCGCGATTGCCTTCAAATGTCACCAGAAGTTCGATGATGTCACACAGCCTGTTCCATGACTATACGTTAACGTGGGGATTTATTTAGACAACTGGATTCATTTCTGTGTAGTTATTCACTCAGGTGATTATTTAACATTTGCATTTGATTATCTGTATATTTCAATGTTCTTTTAGAACACCTTTGAATATTTTCTGCTTTAACATTATAGCATTCTGTTTTTTTAAATCTACAGCTTGTCCATATACATGCGCAATCTTTGTTATTAGTGTGTACATGGCCGTACGATCCAGTTAAATTCCGTAGAGGTGTAACCTCCAATCATTCATCCATCCTAAAAGGTTTCATGTTAAAATCACGTATTCTGAAATCTGCAGGATGAGGTTAATTTGAAGATGAATTATTATTGCAGGTAAATAACCTGTAGGTAGGTAAATTGGTAGTAAAGCCACATAAATATAGTTAACCACAATTGTTAGCACTCATGCTGCCATCAAGGAACCGCGCTGCGTGGCCATTGTGACGGACATGCACACGCTTCACACATTTCTAGGTTAAATGCTATATTTCAGTTCACGCTCACACAATAGTGTTATGAATACAAGACCGGCTTCGAATTCTAGTAGCCCATACATTTAGACACACTGGGCTGATTCAAGGTTGCGGTGGCTGGCACAGAGCCCGGATTCACAAACAGCTCAACACAGAGTGAAAAAGGAACAAATGGTGCGTCTGCTATTTGTTCAGACGTACAGTGGTAAGTATACAAGATTGTGGTGGAAGGTGGAATGATACCCTGCACTGCTACCCTACTCGAATCACGCGCGTGCGCAGCGTGATCGAGTGTTGGCGTCGGACAAATTACGCGTAGGTAATCTAGGTAACGATCACACCATGCTGAGAGTTTTGCTAAATGGTTTTACCATCGCCAGTTATCTCACTCCCATCTGGACTCAATGGCATCATCTCTGTCAACCAAACACTCAGAAGTGATTACACAACATTACACCTTGAACACACAAAATTCGAGATAAAATGCACTAGATATAGGCCCCTATCTATATTACTAGATAAAGATACGGTTCATAGATAAAGTGATAGCATTAATTTTTCCATAAAAAAGGACAGATTAAGTTTACGGCTAAGGTAAGATTCATGAAAGGTCATAGCCTTTTGATGACGCGGCAGATTTATTCAAAACAATGAAATAGACAAAATGACTCGGCATCCTTTTTCGATTACCTTAATACCAAGTTGGTGGCTGAATTTATATTAATCGTTATATCTTTTTATTTTCTTCCTTGCTTATATCAATAACAACATATCAGCAAAAGAGACACTTCTGATCTTCTGTATAGTTGGTCCTATCTTTGTAGATTCAAGGTCTAATCTTTTTCAAAGCTATCAGAAATCTCCACCATTCTACGTACGCACTAGGGAGCGCCATTACACGGAAAATTTATTGATTGACATAAACGGGCTAACGCTCCATTAGGAGTGTTCCCAACTTTGATATCATTAATGATTAATGATTGATAACCCTAACCCTAACCATAACCTAAATGACATTAAACCACAAACTAATATATGACCATGACCATATATATATATGTATAGCTATGTTGTTATGACCATTAATAACATTAAAGTTGGGAACACTCCTAATGGAGTATCACCCCCTAAATGCCTGCAAAAATACTGGTGCCACTCTAAATCAAAACTTTCTAGTTTCAGGAAGTCATTAGAGTGTATAGAGCATTGAATTATGGTGATTAGCATAGAGCATTCGATTTATTTTACCCCAGTTCAAAATCCAAGCACTTGATGCTATGAAATGACCTACACAAAGTGGTGTATTTACACAAACTAGGTTCATCATATTATTATTACCACATATCATATACACAAATATATATTAATCCGTTTTGCCATGAACATGATCAGAAAAACGTGTCTTGTACAATGCTGCTATTAAGTCATAAGATATGATGACTGATGAAACTTGTATATTTTCTAATCGGACAAAGTATTCACATATTTCACAGACGTACCTTGTGCACCAAGCATAGTGGCTTTCACTGTAGACAGAATCTTCAGCTGTGTTCCAATCGTTGGGATTCGCTCACACACTTGTAGCAGATTCTGAAAAATCACATTATCAATAAAAGCATTAGAGGTTAGCTTTACAGATTTCCGAAATTCGAAAATTAGGAAAAGCAATAGAAACGTAATTAAATAAAAGTTTAAGGTGCAACTAAAAAGAACATGGAAACAAACCAGACAATACAAACAATACATATAGAGAGAGGGAGAGAGAGGGGGAAGGAGGGAGGGAGGGAGATAGAAATAGAGACAGAGAGAGAGAGAGAGAGAGAGAGAAAGAATACAAAATAAATGAACTTCACTACATATATCCTTTTCTATACAGCTCTTACCATTCGCATACGCTTGTCCGTACACTGACGTGCCAGCTCCTTGGCAAGCCTTGTCACCTCCTCGGAAGCATCAGCGATGGCCTTGGCACAAGCGATCAGGTCCTTCTTGGAACCACCCTCACCTCTACAAAAGGGAAGCCACGTATAGACTTTCGACATTAACATGGGCAACGACTACGATAATTGTAGATCCATCAAGGCTCATAGCTCCTGTATTCATTAACCAAGAATATCTATAAGGGTCCCGACAGCATATCTCAGGCTCTGCGCCACGCTTATGTTTTACTTCCCAAATCTCTACAAATGTAAACCAGTCACAGTTGAACCCTCTCAGGTTGGTGCTTTTACTTGTGAACAGTTCTACGCCTTGCGCGTCTTGTCAGAGAAGAGACTTGTCACGTTACCTTACGAGTTGACTGAGTCTTGCCATCAGAATGGCCATGCGTTTTGCTGCACCAATGATCTCATTGTCTCTGCTCGACCATTGCTTCGCTTCTTGATGGAGTGAATGTGCTGCCATCTAGTGTAGTAGAAAGTCAGTAAAAACGTTAGCTATTAATCTGTGATATTGTAATCTGCCCCCCCCCCCACCAATTGTGTAAGGAGTGGATGCGATCGTTTGGACGCTTTAATTGTTGCATGTGTCCGATTCATCTCATTAACCCAAGCATGCAGTTGCTACGGTTACCATGATGGGCTGGTTCGCCTGCGGGGCAGGGAAATGCACCATCTCATCCTCATCGTCAGTCTCCGGCGGCGGCGGTCTCGGTGGCGGGAAAGCTCCCCCTGGTGGTGGTGGCCGCGGCGGCGCGGCCGAGTCTTCTACAACACCAGAGCAACATTGTGTGAACCCAATCGAACTTATAAATCACTGCATTTGGCTCGAGACATGATGCGATTACAACGCGACGAGATGGCCGCTGAAAAAAATTGCAACGTGGCACTACATTAACCGTCGTTAAAAGCTTGCGAGATCAACCATGTATGGAATTGAAGGAATTATTTCATAAATAACTGCACAATCGAGAAAAATACAGCGAAATATATGAAGCCATTAAACACACAAACACGGATCTCCGTGATCTACATGGGGCCTTATCGACTTCGTGCTACATCAAACACATCATGATCATATGCAATCTATTGTAAATCGAAAGCTATAGCGAATCATCCGGGCGTTGATGCTGCGAGCAGCGCTGCATGTTAACGCGAAACATGCAAGTCTTCTACTCGGCCTGTATAAACATCTGCTTAGAATATCTTATAACATGTAACACATCTAACATGCACAGAGAATGCCGACATTCGGCAATCCTTCTTCTCTCAGAGCTGGCTACGGCTTCGTCTGAGGTACGAGCTGCGGCTACCGGAGCAGCCTACCATGCGATTAGAATGGCTTCATTACAAGATCTGCGTCGAGATCTACACGAAAATATCATGCTCCGCCGTTTTAGTAAGTTCGCGTAGTATTGTCGACGTGGACAAGTACCAATCCCGTCCCAATGCGTCTCCGCAGCATGTCCTGTTATGTCTCTCTACACTACCAATGTACTAATAATAGGTGCTGCCATCTGTTGACCGAGATGGAAAACGCATGCAGATTCTATTGTCTTCCTGACGCATGCCATGTTATTAGGACTACAATGCAACCGATTCAGCCTGTTCAATACAAGCACAGACCTCTGGGATTTCTACACGGGATTGTACCAAGGTTAAGTGGTGATGACCAAGATGCTACTACACATATTCCCAACAGACACGGCAGTAATCTCGCAGCATGCCATCCCGGTGTTAGCCTGTCGCACAAGCAGGATCCATTGCCTGCGTCACATTGCCCTGAGCTTTCCGCTCAGGCTGCCTGGACAGATTTAAGGCAGACAGGGGAGATAGAGAGAGAGAGAGAGAGCTGGCATGCTGTTCAGCAAACTTTCACACGTTGCCGCAGCAGTTTACCATGGTAGCTCGCATAGGATGGATAATTCTGAGAGTAATATCCCTGATCTTTGTGTATTACACGCGGCGCATACTGGTCTTGTTCTTTGCCATAGTCGGGGCCATATCCGTGGTATATTTGGGGGGATGCTTGGTGGCCTACATTAGTGAAATATATACACATCTCAAAAACAAAGTCATACGGAAACAACAAAACCTAAAGAAAGGTAATAAATTACGACAAAGACATTCTAAGATCACTAATGCAAAACCTATGAGAAAGCTAAGAAGCATAACATAAATAATACAGTGGTGTTGAAATTAATTGTTATAATAGTTAATGGAAAATAAGTATATGTGATATAAATTCATAAAGCTAATGACTACTACAACGTGACGTGATAAATTACACACAAAAGCTGACAAAAATAAATAGAATACTATGGGTTAAAAAAATCCGGGAAAGCACACTACTGAAGAAATCAACACAGCCAACAATTTAGTGTAATAGAGTTACCTTGGGCATGTCCAGCCGTTATGGGCGCTTCTGTAAATTAAGAGATTATCGCATTGTAGTATCCTTCACCACGTATAGTACCCACAGCTATACACACATCCGCAAAATCATGTTAATAGGGGAAAACCAATCACAGCTTATCCACTTTCTCGGTGAACAAGTCAAGGAAACCATCAAAGCTGTTACGGTGTTAGGACGAATGTTACACGAAGAAAAAAAGGTCAATGAACCATTGAAAAAGGTAACGGACGTGGATAACGATACCAACACAAAGCAATGCTGCCAAAAAAACATCAATTCGTGTTTAATTCACACAGTCGTGGTAAAAACACAGTGTATATTAGTATCGAACGTCCTTGCCAATGCAGGCTCAGTTATGTTCAGCCAGCAGCACCTCCTGCACAACTGGAGAGGTTAGTATGCTCACGGCCACTACAGAACCGCATCCTAACGGACATTAGAAACTGACACGGTCTTCCGCAAACGCACTGGAACTTACAATTCAATGCCGGCAACCATTCATGGCATTCACAGGTGAGAACAAAACACGCATCGTGGTAACATATCGTCAAACAACGAACGCCACCCAAACAAGGTGCTTCTTCCACATGCACGAACACGACCCAGCAAATGACGTCACCAAGAACATATCATCGCAAACTATGCACTTCTCGACCAGAGAGCGAACGGTAACTAGTGCCGCCATCACATTACCAAGACAATCCGTCGATCGGTTTTCGATAAATAATACCGACGTGACGAACAAACTGACCTTGCTTCTGGTGCATCCTTCCAGCTGAATGCTATCAACTGTAGCATTAAAAATACCGCACACGCCACCTGAGGCGACGAACGGCAAAATCTCACAGACACAGAAGACACACATTGGGGGGGGGAATCTCGTACGAACGTACAAGCACAAACATTTCGTGCTCTGGATAAACATACGTACGTGTCCACACAGAGAACGTGTACCATCGAAATTAGTTTTACCCTCTGTACCCATCTTTCACGACGCGATCCATTTTCATCGCAACAAAACACGCATAGCGAACGACACGACTTGCAAATGTGCAGCGACACGTTGCAAAAAGCGAGCAACGGAACAGCGATTAAATAACTTGGATCTGCAACCAAAAATCCAAAGTTAACGGCCAACCTGAAACCGAAACGTTTCGTCGAGATTCGGCGAGCGGTTTAGCCAGAGCACAAAACCACGTTGCGCTTTTTCTCTTGCTTTCGTAAACTAAACACGGAATCGGGGGTTTTAGTCGTACGAAGCAGCTTAAGCATTAGTGATTTGGCAAGGATGCTTTCATGAACAGACATCAAACGGCATGTGTGTACATCAGCGCGTTCCCCACGTGCAAGACCGCGGACGCATCTCCCACCGACAACCCCACCGCACGGTGTCAGATTCGCCCACGCAGTACGGGGGTTGCGCAAAAGCGCACATCGCAAGGGGAGCGGGTCCCGGGTATTACACGCGGGCGCACCACCGACTGACAATCAGTACCTGCATCGACAGCGTACGTCGCGTCGATTGCTCCTACACCTCCGGGCGTCGGAACGGACTGCGAGGTATGGTGGGAGCGTTTCATCGCAGTGAGGGAGGAGGACTGGCGGTTGGCGGCGGAGGAGGAGGCGGAGGAGGAGGCCCTCGTCTGCGTGTCTGTCTTCAGTCCCTTCTGCATGTCGCGCATCAGGTGTTCGGACGCGTTCAGCAGCTCGGCTATCGCTCGCTGCTGCTCGTTGTGCCCCGTGCCTGCGCCCGCGCCGCCGCTGCCGCCGCTGCCGCCGCCCACGCCGCCCGCTAGGTCGCGCCGCTGCTTGTTGACGACAACAGTTTTAGTGATTCCGCCACTGCTGCCGCTGCTGCCGCCACCGCGGCGCTTCTGCGTGTACCGCTGGTAGATGCTCGAGTCGTCGCCCGACGCTCCCCCCAGCTGGACAAACCCGCCCCCGTTCACTGCGGTCTGCGCTTTGTTGGCGCTGTCCCGGTCTCGCGACGGGAAAGTTCCAGGGGCGGGGGCGGTGTGATTGACGCGTCCCCTCCCTCGTGCGGCTTCCGCGTCCGCCGCCTCCGTCTTCACGATGAGCGGCTCCCGACTCAGCGGCGGCGAGGTCGCCGCGGCGACGCCGCCTTCCCTCGCTCCCTTCGTCGTCGTCGTCATCTTTTTCATCATCTCTGTTCGCGTCTTTGTCGTGGCACCGGCGGTAGTAGCGGTGGCGCCCGATTGACCCGCGAATGTCACTGGGGATTTACCCGCGGATGTGACCGGGGATTTACCCGCGGATGTGACCGGGGATTTAACCCGCGGATGTGACTGGGGATTTACTCGCGGGTGACGCGATTACTCGCGTGATGGCGGGGTTTACCCGCGAATGTGACCGGGATTTACCCGCGGATGTGACCGGGATTTAGCGGCAGATGTTAGCGGAGAACTTCCCTGCGGCGAGCTTGCTCTCGTGGGCGGGTAGTCTTGCGCGAGTACGCGAGCGACTTCCTTTCCGGTCACGAGCGTTCCTCTCCAGCGTGTTCGTGTCGTCGCGAGTATGAGTCGCCGCCGTGCTCTGCCGCTGCTGCTGTACTGCCTCTCCCCGAGTCACCGTCGTGAACTTACGCTGCTGCGCGTACGACACATCCGACTCGTGCTGACCGCCGGCCGTATCTGTCCAGCGACGACGGCCGCATTGAAAGGAGGTCTGGTGAGATCCTGTCCGTGTGCGCAGCGCGGCGGGGGGCGGCGCGCGGCGACGCCTGCACGGGCTTGGCGATTTTCCGCGTCGACGTTTTCGTTGATGGGGGCAGCGTCTTGGCCGCGTCTCGACGGGTCGCGTCGTCGACTTTGGTGGCGGCGGCCACCTGCTCGTCGCCGCGGCCGCCGCGTCGCGACCTGCTGTATGTCGTCGTCGTCCTGTGTCTCGCGTCGCGTCGCGTAGGACGACCTCGTCTCGCTCCGCTGCCGTTCGCTGTCTGATTCGGCTGCTGGCTGCTGCTGCTGATGATGATGCTGCTGCTGTTGCTGTGGGGGAGAGACCTCGACCACCTCGTCGCGGTCGGCGCCCGCCCGGCTGCGCTGTCTCGGCTCCAGGGTAGCCGTCATCAGCACCACCGTCGTGATCTCGGCGTCTTGGCCGGGGGGCGGGCTGCTCGCAGCGACGCGGTCGTTGATCGGATGGTCGACGATGTAGCCGGGTAGCTAGTCGCGGCGATAGATGATGGCAGCGCGCGCGAGCGTTGTCGCGTGATGGCGTGGCGGCGCGTCCTCCGTGCGGTAACTTTCGTCGTCTGCGTGCGACACGTACTCCGCGCGTCTGCTCGGCTGCGCTCGAACCGGACGCGACGCCTCAGGCGGCGCCACCTGCTGGGCGCGGCGTGTGCTGTGGCGCCACCTGCTGGGGCGCGCTGGCTGTGCTGCTGCTCTGGCAGGAACGCGCGCGGGACGCGGTGGCGCCGCCTGCTGGCCGCGCGCGGCGAGAAGCGTGGCGTCGAAAATGATCCGGCGGCTCCGGCGGGACGCTCCGGGTCGGCTGCGCGGTGGCGCGCCCACGCGGAGGCCGCGAGATCCACTCTGAGCGGTCTTGCGCGCGCTGCTGCTGCGCTGCCCCACCGCGGCGATCGCTCGGATGCTCAGAGTCGCCTGACGCTCCGGTAGGCGGCGGCGTCGTTCGTCCGCACGTAGGCCGCGCGCGCGGCGGCCGTGCGGACAGGTCGCCGCGTCGGCGCCCCGCACATGCGGACGCTCCCTCCGCCGCCGCCGCGCTGCCGCGACGTCCTGTCGTGCTGCCGTCGTGTGCCGGCTGGCGTGATACAGCACATCGCGCTGCGCGGCGCGGTGGGTCGCGGGCGGGTGCCTGGTCCGCGTACGCGGTCGCGCGACCGGAGTGCCGCGCGCATGTCGGCGGAAGGTCGTCCGACGGTGGGCGCCCCCCCGAGTCGTCGCGGCGGGGGCGCGGCGCAGGTTCCCGACGCTGCGGTGGCGCCCGCCAACGCGTCCGTCGTCGGGCGGGACGCGGCGCAGGTCCGCCAGACGCTAAACGGTGGCGCCCCTGCGCGTCGTCGCCGGCGGCTGCGGTGGCGTGGCTGCGGTGAACGGTGCGGAGCCGAGCGTCTCGTGTGCTGCTCGCATCTGCGGCGACTGGCTGTGTGGCGCTGTGCGCAGGATGCCCTTGCGCGGTTCATCGACTGCGAGCGCGCAGCGAGCGTCAGCGTGTTCCGCGGCTGGCGCGTACTCCGTGATGACACTTGCGGGGCGGGTCGACGACGCTTCTACGTCGGGCGTCGTCAGGGCGCGCGGCGCGCCCCCCTGGCGGGGGATGGGCTGTGTGCTCGGCTGCAGCTCGAGCGGCAACGTCCAGCGCACGTGGATTCGCTGGCCGTTGACGGTAGCTTCGACACTTGTAGCACGGCATCTTGAACGCGGCCAGTTCGTCGTGCGACGGCGGACAGCCCGGCGGAAGGGGCAGGGCGGCGAGAGCGCCTGCGGCGGGATCAGTGATGGGTGCTGTGCTCTGCTGCTGCTGCTGCCGCGTCCTTCTCTCGTGTTCGCTCATCGTCTCCTCCGTCGTCGTCACCGACGTCATGTGGTGGCCATGGCGTCCGCGTGGCTCCCTCCCCCGCGGCGGCGATTCGGGCCGCGGCTCGGGTCTCTCGGGCGGCCGCTCCTGCACGGGCCGCCGCTCCTGCGTGGGCCGCTCGTCGATCGGCTCGCGCGGCGGCGGCCCGCCCGGCGGCGGCCCACCCGGCGGCGCCCCCTGGCCGCGGCGATCGTACAACGACGCCATCTGCTCCTCGGTCGTTGTGCTCACCGACGTCGTGTGGTGCGACTTGTGCGGCTTCCTCCTCCTCTCCGGCTTCCTCTCCGGCTCCTCCTCGGGCGGCTCCTCCTCGGGCGGCTCCTCGACGACGGGCCGCGTCACGGGGCGCTCGTCCTCGGGCGCGCGCGTCGGCACGATCATCTCCTCCACGGGCTGCGGCGGCGGAGGCTCCGGCTTCCTCTTTCTCTCCGGCTCCTTCTGCTGCTTCG